ATCATACGGGTAGATAGACGACAAGCGTGAGTGTCGTGGGACTGGAAATATGGGCAATTTATGACACAATCATAGAAAAAATGAAAACCCGACAAATATGTCTAGACATGGTAGACAAGTCTTCAGTCATAGGGACATAAACACATCAGTGCTGCTTCACAGACTTAAAGCTTGAGATGTGTAATGACAGTTTCCAACGCCTGTGAGTTAATGAGAGCACGTACTTCACGGTAGATCTACAAATCCTAGCAGAATATAACCTCATTTACACAAATTTGCATGTTCTTGAGATCTTGAAAGTTGGGGGTACCTCCTCAATCTTATGGGCAACAAAATTGGGACTTAATTAGCAATCGTATTGACAACCACTAAGATTGCAAGCTCAGTAACAATTTTTCAGCAGCTATTTTTAGAATATTTCAATTTTGCTTAACATCTGAGGCATTATTTCATTAAACCACAAATGTGTGCAGGCAGCACACGCCTGATGCAGAGTGCACCAATAGGGAAGCCGAGCTGAGAACAAAGTGTAGCCAGTGGCTAGATCAGACTGCTTGCCAATGATCGATATTGACCCGGGTGGAGACATTGACTACCTCTCACCATTTGTATTCCTTGGTAAAGGCCTATTTAGATCACACTTGCTGACCACATTATGGTATGATAAAAGTACATATTGGAAAATATATTTAAGAATCAATAAATAATAAGAACATACTACTGGCTTTGGAAGGATAGCGAGCAACTAGAATACAAAATATACATTACTTGCAGTGCTACCAATTGATACTTGCTAGAAGTAGGCAAAGTCTATAGATCGACAGCAAACCTTCAATTACACTTCGATCATGGGAAAACGGAGTTGACATTCTGCTAAAAGACGGATCGTCTTAAAAAGTGAAAAAAATGTACACAGAGTAAAGAATAGTAGCCATCAAAAGAAGTATAAACGTCTAATGCTGAACATACCAGGAACATTACCATGAAGACACGTTTCGAGATTCGATTTACCGTTGGGGTTGTAACTCCCTGAAATAATGCAAATTGTAGTGTTTAATTGAAGGAATCTCCCTTACATCATCCGATGTTCAATTAGCACTTAAATAATAATAAGGGTTACAACTCACATTCATTCGCCGTTGTGTTTTTAACAGACGGAAAAGCTAAAAGACTTACATTTATTATATAATTTCTCCATGGTATTAGATAAGTTTTCCGTTGCAATCTAAAAAGATATAGATGAGGAATAAATAAAGAAGAACCAACTTCACGTACATGCAGTTTATTCTCGGCGTGACTTTTTAACTCTGAGCATAATGTCTTAGACAAGTCATTGACTTTTCTGTTCCTAAGAAAATAAAAGCAAATTGATTAGGTAATTGGAGATCAGGTTAGATAGATTATGAAAAGGGGATTTATTTGACACAAGCATTTGAAATACTTACACTTGCATTTCATTAACATCGTACAAATTTCCATTACTTGGTTCGATCGAAATTATTTTAAAACCAATTTGACGAATATAATAATCGCCATCATTCCCCATGATTCTATTTCTAACTTGGAAAAGCTTCTGAACAACCGAATTGTCTTCACGGGCTTCAATAAGAAAGAATAAACTAATTGAGTCAATCGACATTATCTTATAGTCATTGACACTGAATTTCCATTGAGCATTGCCGGACTTCTTGCATTTATAAACACCAATCAGATGCTAAATAGAGATGGACAACTTAAATCTTAAGATCATAGCAAACCATTTTTGAATCTGGAGTCGATGCATAATTATTCCATGTGCCTGTTCTCAAATCACAAGGTAAAGCTGCCACAATTTCTAAAGATACTGTAAAAATTATGCGATTTAGTACCTAGGCATCGAGGGTTGTTTGGTGATGTTTTACCAAGTAATAGGCCTTGCTGTCGTCAATCGCCTTAGAAATAAATTGCACAATTTACCATATAGAAATCCTCGGAAAAGGCAGCAGACGATAAGAACCCAATAGTGGCTCCGTTGACATTGACACTTTCTACGTCTTGGGAATTCTAAAGGGTTATAAATTGAAGTAAAATCACTTAAATAAAAATAAATAGCTGCTTTTAAAAGTTAGTTGTAGTTAGTTTCAACAAATATATAATGCACTAACATCGGACATAAGCAACACAAGAAGCCAAAACGTGCGTCTGATTTGCCGCTATAAAAATGTGTTAACTAATCGTTTAAATAGATAAACAATTTTAAAGGTTTATCAGAACAGAAAACAAGAGATCATTTTTGTCTAATTATAATATTTCTTTTCAAATTATTTTATAATGGGAAAACTATTTTGCCCATCTCTACGATGTACATTTAGCCCAAAATGAAACATTATTAATTGGCAAGTAGATACACCAATTATGTTCTTACGTTTATATTTTATTGTCGTAATTGTCATTATAATTCGAAAGTCATATAATCAAATATTTCATTGAATTATGTTGTGTTAACCTGTGCTCTAGTGAATATATTTATTTTGTGATTTGCGAATAGGCGGATATTTGAAACCTATTCTTTCCGTATTTATTGCCACATTAAAAAATTATTAATTGAATGAATTTTTTCATTATCAGTGGCCTTCATTATCTTACAGTCATTATCAGGATACTACTGACATCTTTCCAGTCAAAGTAAAATCCTCCAAAGCTTCTGTGGCGGATTGCTACACTAATATGCCTTGAATTATACATTATAAACTCTATGGCAAGAGCTCAATTTTTGGAATGGAACCCGAAATTGTTCCCTTAATCTCAATGATAAAGAGCAAACTGATATATGACATGGAACACATTGATTTGGGTGCGTGTCTACCACAAGGCTTAGTTATTAAAGTACAATAGAAATTATGTAAACAATGGATGGATTATTAATTGGCAGCTGGCTGGGAGGTCCCTGCACACACGACAGGACGACTGCACCTTCTAGATTATCTGGATGCATAATAGCTTTCTATATTCAGCCATGTTGGTTTGCAATTCAGTAGACGTTGATGAAGTCTGTTAAAACGTTTGCAAGTTGATGGGGACAGTCTCTATAGAACTGGAGTACGTGTTCTGTCATTTTTGATCAAGTTGTAATGCTTGCTATGGATTAGTCAAAGCTGTCTCCATCCGAGCCTCCTCAGTAGAGGTTGATGTTTAGGGTTTCTGTGTTGGGTGACTTGTCGGGGTAGATTTTGTTGGTTCGCAGCAGTATTGCCGTTTACCTTTTGCGTTTTTTACTCTTCTTGATCGAGGTAGAAAAACGTTCAGGTGGAAAGTTATGAGTATCCCCACACATAGGGCTAGAGTAATCAGCGAGATCTGTAAGTTCCATGGGGAGTTCTCGTGTTTCAGTTGGGAATATCTCGGTAGTGAATCATTCACTGGAATGACCGTCATTGGGGATTGTCGACAATTAGACTCAAGGGACTCATTCATGTTCAAATCTTGGCGTTTGGTGGTACAAATAGAAGGAAGAGGTATATAAAAGCTTATGAACTGGTTGCCTGTCCCATTTAGGGTCAGGTCGGTGGTTTGAATAAAGCACTTTTCTGCAGAATGAGGGATAATGGTGAATTCAATACCAGTGGAACTTAATTTGGAGATAGCACTGTCAACCTCGAGGTATTTTTAGCCTGGTTGATATTTCTTGGGATCGTATCTGTATGTCCGGTGATAACAGTATATTTGGCTACGGTGTTTTGAGGGACTACGAGGCGTCTTCGGAGACATAGGGCGACGTTTGCCGCGACAGGAGGGAATAGTCGGTACGAGTAGTTCTAGCTTCTCTAGCCTTTCAGGGTGTTGTGTGGTAGTAACAACTGAGGTTAGAGCTATAACTGCTATCGTGGAAGTTGTGAAAGTGATTGACCACTTTAGCTCACTCATCAAGATTGCATTGATAAATACTGGTGGTTAAAACTGATGCCATGTTTTCCGGGAGGCAGCACGTGGAGGTAATTCAATCGCACACCTCTATTTAAATAATATAAACAAATGAAACTGCAGTAACTTTGGCTTTGAGTTGGTGTGGGAATCTGCTTAAGTTAGTCAGTCGTGACGGTCAACCTGAAGATAGCTCATTTACTGATCCGCTGTTGAAAGGGGAAACAAAGCATTTTCGAGAGTTGCCAATTTCATCTTCATAAGGAGAAGAAGAAGAAATCAATCTTGCGTTAAGTACCTAAGCAACCTAGCAGTATGTTGGTGCCGGCTAATAGTTCTGTGAAGTGGAAGATGGGAGTAATGGTGTGCGCCTATTGCGAGCATCAGGGGGCTTGTGATATGCAGGATTAGGGATAGAAGGTGGGACCTTTGCCCAAAGGTGTAGCACTTGAAATCCAATATCAGCAATCTCCACGCAGTCACATTTGGAGCTAATTTACAATAGAGGATAGCACGCATGATTATAAAGAATGATGCACATGGAAAGATATGAGTGGAGTCACCATCCATTCCACTCAATACATTTGGTGGAAGAGTTTTCTAACTGAGTCACAAACTCATCGAACATCCTCCTCTTCTTCTTTATCTAGTTCGCCTCAAAGTAACCAGCAAATTAATCTATTGCTTTTGCCATGTGCTGTCAAACACACCCTGTCAACGAAGCGATGCCCATCTATGTCCCTGTGAGATTCCCCTCAAAGTATCTCCGTGAGCTTCCATAACGCAACTATGTAGGCACATTGAATTCAGTTCTTGGTGGTCAGCAATCTGCTTCTGCGCCACTGTGAGCATCAAGTGAAGATGTCTTCTAAGCATCGAAAGCGTGCAAATAGCAAAAAGTGTTCATCTCACATATTAGTACTTTTTGCTGTAGTTGCGATTAATTAAGACTTTTCATCCAAAATAAATTCAGTTCCCCACTACATTGCAGCAAATCTGCTTTTCATAATTTTTTTGCAAAATGCACTCAAGTGTGATGAGATGCTGCACTACGAAAAAAGCTATTTCCGAGCTGTCATTGAGTGCTGGAACTCGGAGGCATTTGATTAAAAAATAAGAAGACACTTAGCCTCTTTATTTGTAACCTGTAATCTCACAGTCGGATACGATAGTGTACAGAGTTTAAGAAGGCATAAGAATGCAAAACAAATCAATGTGGTGACTTACCACCAACTGCACTACTATGAGAATGAAGATGAAACTTATACAACTGCTTGGCAGATCACTATGACGAGAATTACTGAGGCAAAGCGATTCCAGTGCATATTGATTCTGTGCAAGTTCCCAGACCAAGGAAAGGGCACTTCCATTAACTATTATTCAAGCACTTCCGATTTATAACGCTGTTGTTAATACCACTTTGGATAAATTAAGATATCGAGAGAAGTAATTATGTTAGATGGTTGGGAACTTATTAACAATCAGCCTAACTCTTCCATCATTATCACTTGCTGATGAATTTGAAGTAAAAATATAAGCCCTCACACATACCATCTAAAGAACGCGAGTAGACCTTATTTCAGAGCAATTTTTAATGCATTTGATGTAAATTGTGGGAACACAATAGGATTCGCAGTATTGGGCTTGAATAAGGTTGAGGAAGATTAAGGAACTTCCCCAGAGAATTGGCATTTTGAATGGATGGATAGGTGGAGCGATGGATAGGTATTGAATAGAGGGCTTGATGAAACAATTTGAATCCTTGAATGACCTCCACGTCTTTAATTCCGTATTAGTGGTTCACAAGGTACAAATTTTCCAAAAGTAGAATATAATTTGTCATTGGCGAACAAACCATTAAGCCTGCCTCCTCCATGCAACGTCAATGCATGCAGGCATGCGATGATGCACTAAGCGATAACTTGTCCCACAATACCCCCCCCCCTAGAGCGTTTGTAGCGAGCTGTAAGGTAAAAAAAACGCTCGATAATTAGTAAATGTACAAAATCAATTAGTTGAGAGAGGAAGGGAAATCTTCGGCTTTAGAGTAACAGGGTTTTGGGTAGAGGTTGGACAGGTGTTGGAACTGCTAAGACGGGATTGTTGGTCTGAGAGGCAGTAGGATTGTGGACTTCGTGCATGCTTGTGGACCTTGCCGACTGTGCGAATGAAACAGTACTTGGTCCACTGACGAGCGTCCTGTTGGATGTTTCTTCAGAGGCAACGATCGATGATCAATGTTCTTGTTGAATGGATGTTTGGTTGCGACAATCCATGGTCGAAATCTTCCGGCATGTGCTTGCCTGACGATTAATCTCGGCATGCCGGTTGAAACGCAGTAATGAGTTGGAGTTTTGGGGACCTGTAAGGGTAGGCTTTCAAAGAGTGACTTGCTTCGGCTGTTATTTTCCATTGGATAGAAGGACGAGGTTCTTGAGTCTCGTAGAGATGGACATTCTCAACGCAACGTGTTCCGGCTGTTGCCTGTTTCCAAGGGCGTTCTGAAGGAGACATAGCCAGTGAAAGGAGAGCGTTGGGAAGCCGTTGAGGTACTGATC